TCTACCACTATGACCACGACAACCCCCCCCCGCCCCAGCACACCCCCCTGCGCAAGCACAAGAAGAAGGGGCGCCAGGCCCGCGCCGCCAACAAGCAGTCGCCCAGCCCCTCCGAGACCTCCCAGTCGCCGGGCCGCGAGGTGATGACCTACGCCCAGGCCCAACGCATGGTGGAGGTGGACCTGCACGGCCGCGTCCATCGCATCAGCATCTTCGATAACCTCGACGTGGTGTCCGAGGACGAGGAGGTTCCCGAGGAGGTGCCCGAGAACGGGAGCAATAAGGAGAACACGGAGACCCAGAGCGTCCCGCCCAAATCCGGCAAGCACAAGAACAAGGAAAAGCGCAAGGACTCCAACCACCATCACCACAACGCCTCGGCCGGCACCACCCCCAAGCTCCCTGAGGTGGTGTACCGGGAGCTGGAGCAGGACACCCCCGATGCCCCACCTCGTCCCACCTCTTACTACAGGTATTGTCCGTGGCCGGGGCGCGAGGAGGCTCCCAGGCAGCTCTAGCTCGTGCCCTGGGTCTGGAGGCAGAATTGGCCCCGCTCTGTGCGGGCGGCTTGTCCGTGGCCCGTGGAAATGGCCTCCGTCTGCCTCTCCCGGGTCCCTTGGAGCTGGCCATCCCATGGCTTCAGGCTCTCGGAGCTCTGTCTGGCGTTGCGCCCCGGTTTTGAGGGGTCCGTGCGCCTGGAGAGCGCTTGGTCGCTGCTTAGGTCATTGCCGGCAGTTGGATTGCCACGCTCCTTCCTTGTTGGGACGGCAGGTACAGTTATAACAAAAACCAAATGCATCCTCCTGCCTTCCCCACTGCTCTTCAGAGGTATTCTGGGATAGCTCTGGAGCCCCCCAGCACCAAGGTTTACCCCTAAGATGTGTGTGTTTGCGGGCTTAATGTTCTTTGCTGTCCTGCGGATTTTCCGTGAGTGGTTTGGCAAGCGCAGTGGCCCAAAATAATACCTCAAGTAGGGAGTTAATACTGAACCAAAGTAAGGCTTGTGTGGTCACCCCTGCCTTCCTAGTCACCACGTGCCCTGAGAAACCGGCACCGTGTTCTAGGGACAGGATAATGACGTTATTTTGTATCAGGGTGTTAGAAAAGAAACCTCCCCCTGAGGTGTGTGCAGTGCTGCTCGTGGCGATGGTGGGGGGTGGTTGCTGTCAGTCACTGGAGCAGCAGCCTTGGGGTTCGAGCTCTTTCCTCTCTAAATAACATCCCGTCACCCGCAACTGGGAGTGAAAGAGAAGAGGGCGCAGCTGCCCTCACCGGAATAAACAAAACGTGGTGCCTCCATGCCTGGTTGCTGTTGTGTCTTGGGCATGAGGCCGCTGTCTCCAGAGCATCTGGCACCTGCTTGGTGGCTCGTGCAGGCTCCCATCTTGCGCTGATGAGTCTCCAAGGCCCGTACCTCGCCCATTAGACGAGTGTTATTTTGTCTGTGTCGTGCCCAATGTGCTGTTGTGTCGCTGCACTGCTCGGGGTGCAGCAGCACCTCCCGCTTCTGCACTTTCCTGCCTTGTCCCTGTTTTTTTTATTTTGACTTACAGCTTGGCTGTAGCATTTAAACGTTCCCTCAGCCGTGGCCTGTGGGAGTTAAGGTTCAGCAGCTCTGAGACCCCGCCGGCCGTGCTCTCACCCTCCCGTGCTGTCCTTCCAGGTACATCGAGAAGTCGGCAGAGGAGCTGGATGAGGAGGTGGAGTACGACATGGACGAGGAAGATTACATCTGGCTGGACATCATGAACGAGCGGCGGAAGACCGAAGGCGTGAGTCCCATTCCCCAGGAGATCTTCGAGTACCTGATGGACCGGCTGGAGAAGGAGTCCTACTTCGAGAGCCACAACAAGGGGGATCCAAATGCCTTGGTGGATGAGGATGCCGTCTGTTGCATCTGCAATGACGGGGAGTGTCAGAACAGCAACGTCATCCTCTTCTGCGACATGTGCAACCTGGCTGTGCATCAGGAGTGCTACGGGGTGCCCTACATCCCGGAGGGACAGTGGCTCTGCAGACGGTGCCTGCAGTCACCCTCGCGAGCCGTGGACTGCGCCCTCTGCCCGAACAAGGGGGGGGCCTTCAAGCAGACAGACGACGGGCGCTGGGCACACGTGGTCTGTGCCCTCTGGATCCCGGAGGTGTGCTTTGCCAACACCGTCTTCCTGGAGCCCATCGACAGCATCGAGCACATCCCGCCCGCGCGCTGGAAGCTGACTTGTTACATTTGCAAGCAGCGTGGCTCCGGGGCTTGCATCCAGTGTCACAAAGCCAACTGCTACACTGCCTTCCACGTCACCTGTGCCCAGCAGGCCGGGCTGTACATGAAGATGGAGCCCGTCCGGGAGACGGGGGCCAATGGTACCTCCTTCAGCGTGCGCAAAACCGCCTACTGCGACATCCACACACCGCCGGGCTCCGTGCGCAGGCTTCCCGCCCTCTCCCACAGCGAGGGGGAAGAGGAGGACGAGGAGGAGGAGGAGGAGGAGGAGGAGGAGGAGGAGGAGGAGGAGGAGGAGGAGGAGGAGGAGGAGGAGGAGGAGGAGGAGGAGGAGGAGGAGGAGGAGGAGGAGGAGGGCAAGGGCTGGAGCTCCGAGAAAGTGAAAAAAGCTAAGGCCAAGTCTAGAATCAAGATGAAGAAGGCACGGAAGATCCTGGCGGAGAAACGAGCCGCAGCGCCCGTGGTTTCTGTGCCCTGCATCCCCCCGCACAGGTACGACCCGCTGCCCTCCCTTGGCTGTGGAGAAATTTCTCCCTTTCTCCGTGCCTGGTGTCCTGCTTTCCATGCGGGCGTTATCTTGTTCCTCTCCTTAGCTTTTTGCACAGGTACTTTTCACTTTGTTCTCGCAGAGGGCTGTTGGTGGTTTCCTCTGGAGTCCTGCAGAGAGGCAGGGCGATGCGCTGCCCCACAAAGGTGTCTGGGCCCTCGGTGGGGCAGGAAATAGCTGCTGTTAGTTTAACGGCAGAGAGCGAACTTGGCCGGACACGTCAGGAAGCAGCTGGGGGTTCCCAGCGCTCCTTTCCTGTTGTGCTGACCTCAGGTGCTGGAGTAAACTGGGGAGGGAGGAGGGGGCTGCTCTCCTTTCTGCCGAGGTTCGTTTCCTCCCGGGACTGTGCCGGGGAAAAAAGGGACGGTCCTGCTGGGAAGTGTGGGAGCAATTCAGGCCTGGGAAATGGGCTAACCCGGGGCTTGTTTTGGCTCTGGAGCGGATCGTTCTGTCTCGCTCTGGTCTGACTGTTGGGCTGGCGTGCAAATCCCAAAACAAGAGCATCTAAGAGCCTTGCCAGAATTTGTCAGTGTAGTTTATAACCCTGGGTGTCCTCAGCAGCATGCAAAAGCACGTAGAAGCATCTTAGGACGGTTTTGGATCTTGCTGTCACCTTGGGCACAGAAGCGTTTGCTTTCCTGGTTGTGAACCACCACCCCTGAGCAGCTGAGCTCTCCTCCTCCCCGCGGCGGGAGCTGTGCCAGGGATGTAACCCTGTGTCACCCCGGCACCGTACCTGCTGGCCCGTCAAGCACGGCTGTGACAGAGCAGGGATATGGGACAGCTGCTTCCCTGTGGACCCTCGAGAGTACCTCCTGTGCGGTCGGAGGGGAGCACGCAGAAACCGTGGGCTTTGCTTTCTGGACAGCGTTCTGGTGACTTGTGGAGGCAGGTCTCTGCTACAAGGCTGCTGGCTTTTTGCCACGCTCTGTGTCCTAACCTTATGTTTTTGCTCACTCGGGGCTTGCTCTATAGCCGGAGCCTCTTTTTCTTACGTGTGGACGTGTTGGCAGGCGGTTTGTAGGCTCTTGCTGCTATCATTGTGCTCGCAGTGAAACCCACACTGAGCTAGAAGCTGTTAACCTCTCCCCAGGCCTTCCTGTTGGGATGAATTATTCTTCCAGGGCTGTTGCCAGAATGCCAAATGTCTTCCTGTGGGAGCTGTGCTTGGCCGGCGATGGCACATGAGGCTGCTCTCCCCAGCCTCTTCAGCTGAGGCTGATGCAGGTCGGGTCATCCCCTGAGAAGAGCTGTCCCTGTGAGACATGGAGATGCTGGGGGTTCGTCCCTTCGGCTCCCCGCTAGCAGGGCATCTCTGTCCAGCTTTGCTGAATGAGGCTGTCCCAGCCCCTCCAGGCTTTCTGCTGTTGTAGAGAGAGTAGGAAAATCCCTTTTGTGGTGTCTTGGGCTGTTTAGGGTAGTCCTTCATTAGCCCGGATAGGAGCTCTGTTGTGCTCGTGCCTCCTGTTCCCTCCTCACGCTTTGCCAGGTTTGGTCAAGTTATGGGCTGCCTGGGGCTCAGGTTTGTCTGGTAACGTTTGGCTAGGGCCTTTGTCACCGTGAGCGGCCCTCAGCCGGGTAAATAATGGTTCTGGGATAGCAGCGCCGTAATGCTTGCAGTCTTGGGGACTGTGGGAGCTGTTAAAGGTCTGGCCCCTGATGTGGCCGTGTTGTACCCTGACCTGGCGCAGCCTGCCCCGGGCTTTTGCCTGAAAGTTGGCAGGAGGTAGAAAGGAAAAGTCTGTTTTGGAGAGGCAAGGCTGGATGTTTCCTGGCATCCTCCATTGCGGCTGACTCGGGGGGGCGGCTGCCCTGCATGACTTGGTGTTACAGAAATTCCTGCCATGGGAAAGGGTGTTCCCTGCTTGAGGAGCTTCTCAGCTGCCTTCGGGCGGCCTTGCTGCTACATCACCCCAGCCAGGGCTTCTCCTGCAGTGGCCAGGCTTGCCTTGTTGATGGGGTCTGTGGTTCCTCTCCCTTCCTCAGGCTCAGTAAGATTACAAACCGTTTAACCATCCAGAGGAAGAGCCAGTTCATGCAGAGGCTGCACAGCTACTGGACTCTGAAGAGACAGTCCCGCAACGGTGTCCCTCTGCTCCGCCGCCTTCAGACACACCTGCAGTCACAAAGAAACTGTGACCAGGTAAGGGCTGCTTGTTGGGGTGCTGCAGGCAATCCTGGCTGCGCGCGCGTGCTTCTTGCGCCTTCGGAGCTGCGGGCTCAAAGCCTTTGCTGCATGCGGTGCCTGCAGGCGCAGAAGGGGTGCCAGGGGTACAAGCTCCCGGATGAGGAAAGGGCAGCCCCAGCTGCTTTTGCTGCTTCACCTTCTCCTCCACTCTCGGCATTCAGAGATTTGCCAGGCAGCGACGCCGTTGGCAGCCTGCCATGGGAAGGGAATCCTGCCCTCTCACGCTGCCGCGCAGAAGTTAGCTCCTTCCTCGTGCCCACATTTAGCCGGTGGCGGCGGCAAAGCTGTCAGAAATGGCTCTAGTTTGAGGCTGCTGTGTCAGCAAGTGTCGAGAGAGGTGGCCGGAGGTTCCAGAAACAGTCTGGAAGGAACCAAGGCCTCGCTTCCAGTTTCTGAAACCACTCCAGGAGCGCTCCCTGTGGGTGCTGCTTCCAGCCCGCTGTCTGCCTCAGCCCTTAGTCAGCACTTCACAGATGTGAAGTCTCTGGTGCCAGAGAGGAAGATTTTTCTTCTGGCTCCCTGTCTGAGCTCTAAATCTTTCTTTCTGAGCCCTTTGAGGACTGTGGCCGGGCAGGGGTTTCTCCTGCCTTTGCTCCCTCTCATTTTTATTTGCTGGAGAAGAGTTGAGACTGCTTCTGCTCGTCTTTGGCTACGGCAGAATAAAAGTTGGCATTTTTTGGTGCTCCTGAAGTGAAAGCAACCAGAGCCGTGTTCCTTTTTTGCCCTTTGCTGGAGCTCTGAGCAGCAGCACAGACCCTGGTGTTGTTGATCTGTGCTCTTGGGCAGCTGCAGGTAGTCGGTCACGTTAGGAAGAGTATTTCCAGAGGCTCGGGATGTCCACCTCCTGGCATCCTAAGGGCTTGGTGACCAAGGAGCAGGTATTCAGCTCTGGCCAGAGGTCAGACTGTTTCTGAGTCACCCGCCTTGGTTACAACAAGGGAACCAGGACCTTCGCTGAACCAGCGGGTCAGGCGTGCCGGTTCCCTTTGCCAGGGAGGAGCCCCAGCACACAGTCAGGAAGGTGGGGATGGGAACACATCTCCTATCGGCTCATGGTCTCTGATATTCCCGCAGAGAGACACTGAGGATAAGAACTGGGCCCTGAAGGAGCAGCTGAAGTCATGGCAGCGCCTCCGCCATGACCTAGAGCGTGCACGCTTGCTGGTGGAGCTGATACGCAAGCGGGAGAAGCTCAAGAGAGAGACGGTAACGATTGTTTGCCCCTCCTTGGGGAGCTGCTGGGGTGGGCATGAGCATGGGCTCTTTAGAGTGCTGTAGGGCATGTGCCGGGGTCCCCTCGGCCGTGCTGCGCCCTTCCCCAGCGGCTCTGAGCAAAGGTGGCTGTTCTGCAAGGCTGAGGTGGCACGCGCAGGTGCTGGAGCCGGTGTTTCACCTCTGCTCCCCAGAGATGGGGGTGAGGTGCAGTCCCTGCCCCTCGCGCCAGGAAAGGTGTCGCTGTCCTGCAGGACTGCACTGCTGCTCCCTGGGGACTGTCCCCGCTGCCGGGCAGGGGTCTCAGCCCCGCTCTGTTCTTCTGTTTCAGATCAAAGTGCAGCAGGTGGCACTGGAAATGCAGCTGACCCCCTTCCTCATCCTCCTCCGCAAGACGCTTGAACAGCTGCAGGAGAAAGACACGGGCAACATCTTCAGCGAGCCGGTCCCTCTGTCTGAGGTAACAGAAATCTACGAAGTAAGAACCCCCTCCCCCAGATTTCTACTTCACTCAAACTTGTCCCTTGCTCGTGCCAAGGGCTGCCCCGGGTGCTCTCTGGTCCGGAAGCTCCCCTGGGCAGCCTGGTGCTGGCTCGCGCATCCCAGCACCACTCACCCAAGGGGGCTGTGCAGCGATGCCCCTCCCGGGCGAGCTGAATGCGGAACAGCTGAGCTGGTGCCGGCCAGGAGCACAGCACTCGGCTCTTTCTCTGCGCGTGTTGCTGGTGACTCCCCAGCGTCTGCGAGCGGTTGGGGATCCCCGCTGGGAAAGGCAGAATGCCGGCCCTTGGCAGGCGGCACGCTCTTACCTGTCCTCCCGTGAAGGCCTCTGCTAGGCGACAGACTGAGCACAGCACAGAAACGGGTTTGACCCCAAGACTGTCACTGCTGGGGGCAAGGGAAATGATTCCTGAGACCGTCCCCGAGTGCCCGCCTGGGGAGGTGGGGAAAGGCCGTGCTGGCTCTGCACGGCTCTGGCAGCAGGTCGGCATGGAGGTGTCTTGGCAGAGGTGGGGAGGAAGGCTGCACGGTCCCACCTGCAGCCATTGCTGCTGCCTGGACGGTTCTGTTTTACCTGTCTGCACTCAGCCTCGCCCCCGGGGGCTGCGCTTGTGGCTTCCTCCCCCGGGGAATGCTGTGTAGCGTTCTGGATCCCAGCTGCCCGCAGACAGGAGGAGAGGACGGGATGCTGGCATGTGCGCTGGAGCCTTAAAAATGCTTCAGAGTGCGTATCTGCTCTAACATGTTGAGTACAGCACATGGGCTCCCTAGTCCGGAGGCGTTACTGTTCCTCAAGCTGCAAAAGCAGACGGCATTCCCCGATGTGCATTTGGGCAGAGCGCAGGGAGCGATACCTGATTCCTCTAACGACTGTTTTCTTGGAGCAGGTAATGCTAACTGATGGCTCCCGGGCTCTTAGCTCTGGCTCTTTCTTCGTGCAGGTCCCAGACTACCTGGATCACATCAAGAAGCCGATGGATTTTCAGACAATGAAACAAAACCTGGAAGCCTATCGCTATCTGAATTTTGATGACTTTGAGGAGGATTTCAACCTGATTATCAACAACTGTTTGAAATACAATGCCAAAGACACAATCTTCTACCGGGCAGCCATCCGTCTGCGGGAGCAGGGAGGCGCCGTTCTCCGGCAGGCTCGCCGGCAGGCAGAGAAGATGGGCATTGACTTTGAGACAGGCATGCACTTCCCTCACTGTGTAACGGTGGAAGAGGCTCAGGTCCAAGACATCGAGGACGGTGAGTACTCATACCCTGTCCCGGGGTACGAGGGCTACTCGGAGGAAAAGCCTGGGCAGAGTCAGGGCACCTGGGAGTCTGTTGGAGCTGCCTCCTGCGGGAGGTTCAGTTGGATGTCTGGGCAGTGCGTGCCCACTCCCCAGAGAGGTGGGGGCTTTGCTAGCCAGGTACCTATCGGCCCCATTAGGTTGATTCTAGGCAGTGGCTTGTGTGTCCTGCCAGTCCCTCGGTCCCTCGTCCTCCTCTTGGTCAGAGCAGGGGGCTGCCTGGGACGTGGGTACCGTCACTCGCCCCATCCCCAGCACTGGCCGTGAGCTGCTGAGGCTCCTGCTGTGCCGCCCGGCTAGAAGGACTGACTCCCCCTGGTCAGAGCTGTGTGCTCCCCCCTCTCTCCCCAGCTGTGGGCTTTGCTGGATGCCACACAGCTCCTGATACCCCTCAACCAGACCTCACTGGCTCCGTGGTTGTAGATCTGCTTGTCTCTGCTGGGCAGTGGGGAGCACCGCCAGGAACAGCTTGTCAGAGAAGGATCCTTTCAGGGTCCCCCTCTCCCTGCTCCAGCACGGGATGGGCTCAGTGAGGGGAACTTCCCTGCTCTGTAATGCTTCAGGATCCCTTTGACTCTTGTTTTTCCTGTTACAACCCCCTTTCTTTTTCCTGCTGTGTCCTTGCCCCAGCCGATGGGAACCCTGGTATTCGCCAAGCTGCTGATCGGCCTGCCTTCCCCAGCAGTCCCAACTGGCTTGCTTCCCCCAGGGCTCCTTGTCCAGGTCTTTTAGGGTAGAATCATAGAATCATAGAATCATTGAGGTTGGAAAAGACCTCTAAGATCATCGAGTCCAACCGTCGACCCAACACCACCACCCACTAAACCATGTCCCTAAGTGCCTCATCTACTCGTCTTTTAAATACCTCCAGGGATGGGGACTCCACCACTTCCCTGGGCAGCCTCTTCCAATGTTTAACCACTCTTTCAGTAAAGACATTTTTCCTTACATCCAATCTAAACCTCCCCTGGCGCAACTTGAGGCCATTTCGTCTCGTCCTATCGCTTGTTACTTGGGAGAAGAGACCAACACCCACCTCGCTACAACCTCCTTTCAGGGAGTTGTAGAGAGCGATGAGGTCTCCCCTCAGCCCCCTTTTCTCCAGGCTAAACAACCCCAGTTCCCTCAGCCGCTCCTCATAAGACTTGTTCTCCAGACCCTTCACCAGCCTCGTTGCCCTTCTCTGGACACGCGCCAGCACCTCAACGTCCTTCTTGTAGTGAGGGGCCCAAAACTGAACACAGTATTCGAGGTGCGGCCTCACCAGGGCCGAGTACAGGGGCACGATCACATCCCTACTCCTGCTGGCCACACTATTTCTGATACAGGCCAGGATGCCATTGGCCTTCTTGGCCACCTGGGCACACTGCCGGCTCATGTTCAGCCGGCTGTCGACCAACACCCCCAGGTCCTTTTCCGACAGGCAGCTTTCCAGCCACTCTTCCCCAAGCCTGTAGCGCTGCATGGGGTTGTTGTGGCCGAAGGGCAGGACCCGGCACTTGGCCTTGTTGAACCTCATACAATTGGTCTGGGCCCATCGATCCAGCCTGTCCAAGGGTAACTTCCCATGTTCACAGGTGTTTGGTACTGTGTCAGCTGGTTCCCTTCTGCGGGGAACCTGGATTGCCCCATGCCCTTTCATGTAGAGGAGCTCCAAAGAGTTCCCGATTTCTTTCATCCATCTGCTCCTCTTTGTTCCCCCAGAAGATGTGCGGCTGCTGCTCTCAGAGAATCAGAAGCACCTGCCCTTGGAGGAGCAGCTGAAGATCCTGCTGGAGCGGCTGGATGAGGTCAATGCTGGCAAGCAGAGCATAGGACGGTCCCGCCGGGCCAAGATGATCAAGAAGGAGATCACAGTCCTACGGCGGAAACTCGCTCACCCACGGGACCTGGGCCGAGACGGGCTGGAGCGGCACGGCTCCTCTGCCAGGGGAGTCCTGCAGTCACACAACCCCTGCGAGAAGGACCTGCAGACAGACAGTGCTGCAGAAGAGAGCAGCAGCCAGGAGACTGGCAAAGGTACTGGTCCCTCCAGAATACTGCTGGTTTTGGGGAGCAGTGGAGAATCACCTCTGGACAGGCTGGCTGGGGGAGAGGCCGCCCTGCCAGGCACCTCCCGAGGCAGGAGGGCTGTGCAGGCAGCTCCCCGCACACACCTCGCTCTTCGCTCCTCCTTAGGAGCAGGGCAGATGGCCTCTCCGGGGGCAGTCCCTTATCTCCCATTCCCCTGCGAGGGTTCCTTGTTTCCCGTAGTGCCTCCCGTAGGTAGGGGTGGGTGTGGAGTACAACGTCTGCACCTCCCCGGGCTCCCTGCCGGCGTGCCCGTCCGAGGACTGTACCCCACTGGGTAGTTGGTACTGAGCCGTACCAGCCAAGCAGGTGGGATTGGAGGGGGTGGAGGGTGGCGCGGGCGGCCCCCGGCCCCCTCCGCTCCCCCCAGCCGCAGCCTGGTGTGCGTTTGCCTCTGGGGAGAGTCGGCAGGGCGCTGGTGTTCACAGCTGCGGTCAGCGTTCACCCAGTGAGCTTGCCTCCCGTGCGGCCGAGGAGCTGGATGTCGCTCCAGAGACCGAGTGCTTTGCCGTGAGAGTCCCAGCTGTGTGATGTGGGGCGTGAGATGGATTGTTTCCTCCTGCCAGCTCTGCCACGCTGCCCAGTTTCTCTAGGGGCATTAGGGAGCAGGCTGCCTTCAGCGTCCCTTCCTGCTTGGGGGCACGGGAGGGAGTTGCAGCAGCACTGACTGCTGAGCTCCAAACTCCCTCCCGGGGCTGGGAGCCAAACGCGGGCCAGCCACCAGCTCCCTGGCCTCCTGGACGGAGGTGCTGAGCTGGGCTCCGTGGGGAGCACAGCAAAAGCTCCAGGAGGGACTGCTAGGTGTCACCGGGGGTTTGCCACCTCTGCATCCCAGTCCTGCCCCCCTAAGCACCGGGAAAAGCAGGCCGTTCCGCGAGCTGGGGGCGGTTTAGGGCCTTTGTCTTTCAAGGGTGCAGTGGAGCTTCTCAGCTGCTGCGTGTCGCGGGAAAGGTTTAGTCCTGCTTGCCTGCTCTTGACTTCTGTTTCTGTGAGGTTGCTGCCTGGGAGAAAGGAGGGCATACCTGGCTGGTGGAGTGTTCTTTGATGTCCCCATCTAGCTTTTACTGCCAGCAGACTGGATAGTTTGACGCTGAGGGCACAGGCATGGCAAAGCTCAGGATGGAGGATCTTCCGAGACAACGTTCCCGAGAAATGAAGCTGCTCCTTGATGCCGCTGCCGTGCGGTCCCTGCCAGCTGCAGCTGACACCTTCTCCTCCCTCTTCCAGGTCTGGGTCCCAATTCTTCTTCCACCCCAGCACATGAAGTTGGCAGGAGGACCTCAGTGCTCTTCTCCAAGAAGAACCCTAAAACTGCAGGCCCTCCAAAACGTCCAGGACGCCCCCCAAAGAATCGAGACAGCCAGATCGCTCCCGGGCACGGGAACAGCCCCATCGGGCCCCCCCAGCTCCCAATAATGGGGTCCTCCCAGCGGCAGAGGAAGCGAGGGCGAAGCCCGCGCCCCAGCTCCAGCTCGGACAGTGACAGCGATAAGTCCACCGAAGACGCTCCCATGGGTGGGTGCCAAAACGTCCAGGACGCCCCCCAAAGAATCGAGACAGCCAGATCGCTCCCGGGCACGGGAACAGCCCCATCGGGCCCCCCCAGCTCCCAATAATGGGGTCCTCCCAGCGGCAGAGGAAGCGAGGGCGAAGCCCGCGCCCCAGCTCCAGCTCGGACAGTGACAGCGATAAGTCCACCGAAGACGCTCCCATGGGTGGGTGCGGCAGCCCCCCCCGCTCAGCCCGGCGGC